TTATTATTATTGGTACACATATATTATATTTTGTGATATTTTGGTCATGTTTGATGTTTCTTGAACTACATATACCCTATGTAAGTGTACCTACTACTGTACCAGCACTCACTCTCTCTAACTCTACAATCTCACTCTCAACACTCTGTCTCTCTGTTTTCTACTGTTTTACGGAATGTTATAAAACTAAACCAATCAGTATTTGTACTATCGGCTCGTTTGTGTGTGAGTGTGTGTGTGTGAGTGTAACTATATATATGTATGTATGTATGTGTGTGTGTGTATGCCTGTAACATGTATGTGCATATGTCTGTGTACAGCTATACAGCTATCGTAAGCTAATGAGTGAGCAAAGAACTGTTCATTTCGCTCAGCTGGAAGTTAGACAAATATATACTATAAACATTCTCAGGTGCAGCCAACTTAACATTTGATATCGTGCATCGGTTTGTAAAATGAACAGTTCTTGCCAGCAGCAGGTTGTAGCACACGTATCCCTAGAACGCACAGAATGAAATTGTCACGGTCACAGTCAATGTCATCGTCACTGTTATCGTATCTGTTACTGTGTCAGTCACTGTAACAGTTTCTTTTACTGTTACTGTCTCAGTCATTGTCACAACCGCTGTTACAGTCACAGTCAGAGACTGTTACAGTCCCAGTCAGGGTCACTGTTACAGTCTCAGTCACTGTTACAGTTACTGACTCAGTCACTGTCACAGTTACTGTCGCAGTCACTGTCTCAGTCACTGTCAGAGTTACTGTCTCAGTCACTGTCATAATCACTGTTGCAATCACTGTCACCGTTACTGTTGCAGTCACTGTCGCCGTTACTGTTACTGTCTCAGTCACTGTCACAGCCACTGTCTCAGTCACTGTTACACTCACTGGTTCAGTCACTGTTTCAGTCACTGTTACAGACACTGTTTCAGTCACGGTTTCAGTCACTGTCTCAGTCATTGTCACAGTCATGTTTCAGTCACTGTCACCGTTACTGTTGCTGTCTCAGTCACTGTCACGGTTACAGTCACAGTCACAGTCAGAGTCAATGTCACGGTCACTGTTACCGAATTAGGCATACAGTCACCATCACTGTCACTGTTCACTGTCACGGTCTCAGCCATACATTGTGTAATGTGTTGATGTCATGTACGAATATCTATCTGTATCTGTACTCCAATAACTATAGAGTTGTCCATATGCAAATAAAAATTAAATTCAATATATATAAACATATGTACAATACAATCTGGCTATATACTTATTTATTTCCCTAATATTTATATATATAACTTGACATTTAATTTCTTATTCCTCAAGTCAACATGTCTTCCTCTCTATCTGTATCTCTCTCTTTCTCTCTGTCTCTCTCCATCTCTCTGTCTGTCTGTTAACCAACTCTGATCCGATACGTTAGGGAGCATCAAGTGTGTGTGTGTGCGTGTCTATATATACCGATATATGTCTGTGCCGGTTATATCAATTACTGTTTGAGTTCCGATTGAGTTCAGTTTTCGTTATATTTTTCTTTCGATTTTCAAGCATTTTTTGTTTGTGTATCCCTCATACAAATCATGCCAACCGAAGCCTTGGCTTATATATATGTTTTTCAATAATAATCGTACATCATAATATTTGCTACAATTCACCACTTTGACAACTACAGCTACAAGAAACTACTATTTACTGCTACTACTATTACGTACTACTACTACTACTACTACTATTTACTGGTTATACTACTACTACTACTACTACAGCTACAGTTACCTTTAAACAGTTTTGTGTCATGTGTTTGGTCGAAAATACTAATCTTAAGCTCAATTGCATTGACACAACTTAACAACCTTTCCGGATCAGTACACGATACGTAATGGACGTGGCCGTTTCGGAATACCTGGCAGTGATCGTAAGCCTCTCGTATTGTCAACATATCAGGATGCACAACAACATTTGCCGTACGCCGACGACTCCAACGCAGTGACGCCCATGTCTGAGGAGAACGGAGCCATCATAGTGCCGGTTTACTATGGAAATCTAGGTGGGTGGGATCGATAGCGATAACAAACGATAACAAGCGATCGCTCTATACGGATAATTATACTTATTCAATATGGACTCTAGGCTCTAGACACTCGTCGTATACCTCGCACCAGTCCCGTATCTCGTATACCTCACATGGCGATCTGCTCGGCGGCATGGCCGTCATGGGCGTCAGCACAATGACCAAGGAAAGCAAGTTGCGCAATCGCAATACACGCAATCAATCAGTGGGCGCCTCCAATGGCGGCACCACCTGCCTGGACACCAATCATAAGGTCGAGCATCGCGACTACGTAAGCCCTACCAGTGTCCACTAACTGAAATAATTCATATTTTAATATACAATATTACAGGAAATCGGCCTGGAGTGCACGGACGAAGCGGGCAAGATCAAACATCACGACAATCCTTTTATTGAGCCCGTCCAGACACAAACGGTGGTCGACATGAAAGGTAACTAACGGAGCAGAGCGATGCAATGTAGCTATGTAACCCACCTCTCTCTCTATCTTTCTCTGCCTTTCTCTCCTTAGATGTTATGGTCCTGAATGATATTATTGAGCAAGCCGCAGGTCGGCATAGTCGCGCAAGTGATCGCGGTGGTAAGTACACACTTAACGACCTATCGATAGATCGATATCAACTACTGCATTGCATTCATGTTGTACATTTGACATATCCATTAAGCAATATATGTATCGAATTATCGATCAATATATATTGAAATCGATCGTCTTGTACATTTTCCTTTGTTTTGTGTTCTATACCATGTGCATTGTTTTCATTGATTTCCGTTTTCGTTTCAAGAACATTTTCAAAAATTATATCAAAAATAATACGAATCAAATGTTCATGTAAATAAGTACAAAGCAAATCATCTACTTTTTTACTCGACTTTACTTTTCTTTACTTTTCCTTTCCTTTGGCTATATCCATTTGAAGAACTTTCAAATAAACCAACGTTTGTTACTCTGACAACGCATTTTTTGCCCAATAGTCATTTTATTTATACTACTCTCAACTCTATATACTCTATATAAAATAAAGAAAAAAAGAAGAAGAAAAAAAACCAAAATGAGTTTCATCTGTTCCAAAATGTCTCTGCGATTTTCCGGAATGCGGTATCTCCGCATTACCTTCATAACTCATATCGAACGAATTTTGAAAGATTTTTGTCTAGAGATTCGAGCTCACATTCTATATGCATATATTTATATAAAATACGATAAATACGATATACATATAATCATGTCTATTGGTTTTTATTGTTGCTTTAACGTTTTACAATCGAAATGAAATGAAAGCGCATGAGTTGAGTGCGTTGAAGGCCGCCTGATTGATTGATTGATTGATTGAACAGTACTATATAAATAAAATACCTCTAGCGTGCTGCATGCGGACCCTAGGCCTGTGCATCATTTGATTAAGCATATCAATTATTTACTCTTCATTTATTAAAACATTTAACAACAAAATGAAAACAAAAATTGTATGAGCAAATTAAAAATTTTATTTTAACATTTTTAACTATCACATTTATTTATATTTTAAATATTTTTTTTCTTTCGTATAATTTTGATTTGGTTCTTCTCATTGTTTTGTTAGTGTTTTTTTTTTTTAAGTTCTCTTCTTCCTATTAACAAAGAAAGCAACAAAAGAAAACATACTTAAAATATTTTAATAATTATAGCTATATAAATATACTTACATATGTTTATACCCA